TTGCCCAATTCTTATATCAATACAACAAAATCAAAATGTGCTGCAACTTTACAAGTATTTGACGCAGTTCCACTTCAGAACAACATAAAAAGGTTACTTATTTATTTTTATACAATATCACTCATTTTCATTTGTCATGCTTATCCAAACTTGAGTCTTTTTGAAATTCATTGTGAAATTCAATTACAGAAGATCATATACATTTAGTCAAGCGGTAAATATCGTTATCATCTCACTGGATAAATTAGCCTTTGTATTTAATTTTTGTGACAACTTTTCCTTGAACCATCAACGGTTAGCAAGCTATGTAAGAGAATTGTTTTTTTCCCCGTTCAGAATACTCGAGTTTTAATGAAAGTCGAGGTGGATATCTACAGATATATAATGGTGTAAATCTACAGATGTATAACGCATGTAGCACGTACATGCCTCACCCAGAAATGGTTCCACTGGTTTTTGTTGTACATGCTAAGTGGTGACTTTTATCCTTTAGCTAGACGATTTCTGGAATTCAGAAGAGGTGATCAAAAACCCATATGAAATTAGCTGTTGCTTCCATTCCTTGAAATTGTGGAAGTTTTAACTCATTTGAACGGTACTCAATGGCATCAGCTACACTGGAACTAATAGCTTGAGCAGCTAAGTTGACCTTCTGTTGCTTTCATTGGATATGAACCATTTTCAACATATTACCATGTCGGAGAATTTCTGATTGTTGTAACTTCTGAAGCTCACCAAATACTGCCATTCGACCCTTCCTACATCTTTATCTATGAGAACACCCCCTTCTGCTAGCAAATTTCTAGCTAACTTTAGCTTGTGGCAGACATAAAGTAGCACATAAGTTTTTTCCTTTTGATCTTGTGAATCTGGTTTTGTGAATCCTGGGTCTGCAGCCACTTTTCCATACCATCTTCTAATTTGTGATTGACTTGAAAGTGCTATGTGGAAAGTTTTCCTCACAAACTTATATGCTTTAGCAGAGTAGAACTGTAAAGTCAATGCAAATGATTTCAACATTAGGTAAGTATCGCCATCCCTTTCCTGACTTTTTTGCTGTCATTCTTCACATTAGTGCCAAAAGCACACCACTAAATATCTGACTAAGCATTTCTTCACAGTCAGTTGAAACTAGATTATTTTGCTTGAGGAACTTAACAATTTCTTTCATAGATGCTACATTTTTTTAAACGTCTAGATCTTTGCTGGAAAGATTTTAGTTTTTTCTTTAAAGAATGAATTTTTTATTTTTTGTTTTTAGCTCCTGTTCCAAATGCTGTTTCACATTACTGAAAGAATTAAAATTTCCATTTTATTCTGAACACTGCTTTTTTGTTGTTTGACCATCATTTTCAACATCATGAAATGAGACTTCCTCTAATTCTAGATTTCTAATGTCTGCATTTTCATCCTCTATCAACTGACAATTCTCTCTTTTTTTTCTTAATGCTGGCTGTTTACTCCTTTTTTCTGGCTGAAGTGCCTTTTGCATATATGCTGGGTATTTCTTGAATTGTGTTGGCACTGCATTTTGTTTCAAGGTCACTCTTTTGCTACATCTATCAATACAACTTGAACTCTCCCTAAAATGATATGGACACACAACAGAAGTTTTTCTTGGGTACCAATTCTTGCGAATTGTAGTTTTTATCCATTGTTTTAACTTTGTTTCGTCTAAGAGAAACCTTTATAATGGGCATTGAAAAGTGTTAGGTGTTAGACTGCTAGTTCTTTGTGATATGTTAAAAAATATTATTTTTTATATTGTATGGTATGTTCGTTTCCTCCCTTTATGGATGATTTTATTATTTCATTCTGATTCACTATGTATATTTGAACTTACTGATGAAATGTCCTGGGAAATTTTGTTTTAACCTCAGACTCGTCATCAGTATTTCCTTCGCTGCTACTACGCTCATTATATTCTTCAAGTCTCTTTCGTTTTGAACAGCCAAAAACACAGGATTGAGCTCCTCGCACTTTCCCCATTTTCCAATTGATTGTAAAAACAAATTTGGCGCCAGGAAAAGAGGCCTACACTTATGTAATTTTAATGGTTGGAAAGCAGTAACAAAGACTAATCAACTGACTGGAATGACGGCCGACGTGAGGACACGTTGAACACCTGCTTGGCCCTTCTGCATAGTTATTATTCTGAACTTTTATTCTCATGTGAAGTTAGAGTTTCCCGACTATAGGCGCTTTCATATAATCTCGAGTCAAAACTACATTTACTTACCTTCTTATCTAAATAAAAGCACATCTAATATTTGTGTATAATCTCACGGTGGAAAAAAACTTATTGTTTCTTGAGTCACTCTCTTTCAAAAATTTAAAGTGTTTCTTTGAATTTATTTGATGATTTTTGTACTTACTATTACATTTCGCAGCAAAATGGTGCTTACACGTTATGCCACACGTATTAATATGTGCATTACGTGCACCACTCATATAGCTTGCATACATTTTAATGGTGGCAAACTTCGACAACATCTTCGTCTTTATATCTTTTGTTCCTCCAACGTTATAATTTTCCATGCTCATCATTACTTTCAAATGTTGTTTGGTGCTCTCGTGTGATGTACATACATCAATGCTATCTTTCAGTGCCAATTTAGATAATTTTGTGCAATGAAAACGTCATGTTTTTCTATTTTATTTCGAAATCAAGTTGCTAAGGGACATTTAAAGCGTCAAAACACAAACACGTGTGAAATATTGCTATTTTTTTGATTAGTCGATTGATAAAAATTTGAGGCAATACTTAGGCAATTTACATATTTAAGCAAAACGAAAACAAAAACAAAGTTTTGAAACGTTCATTTGTAATTCGTCCTCATTAACACAATTTAACAAGGTTAATCAGCCATTGGTTGTTTATTTTTGTAGCCAATCTCATTCTAGCACGTATTAAGATAGTTAATAGCAATTCTTTAATACTATAGATCATATACGCGTGATACTTGCTTCTTGACTTTTTTAATTTCCCAAGTGTTGTTGTAAAAACAGCATGTTTGCCAATGAAAATTGGAAATTTTTTCGGTTTTATTATGTAAAACAAAAGGACAACATTTAAACGTTTTCTGTTTAGTAATATAGATACACTGGCAAGACGTCATTAGAACATAATAAAAACAAAAAGTGATAAAACTCCTCGGTGGTAATTGACAACGTCCCTACCAATTAATGGGCCAATGGAGTGATGCAATTGCGTCATTTGACATCTTAAATAGTCGTTTAACCTAGGCTTCATTTGACATAGGCTTCGTTTCAACCTATGCTCTATAACTGTATGCCTTAAAATTTAACCACGGGTAACTTATACTTGTTTAAGAAAAATTGATTGTAAATCAGCTGCAAAGAGTTACGTCTTGATAAGGGAAAAAATGTATTGTTCTTTAATCTTTTCTGTTATCAGTTGAAGGCTAAATAGTCATCTGAATTTTGTAAAATGTATATTGAGAAACTAAAGGGGCATATATTTAAGTGTTTATTAAAGTTGTTTCAAACATATTGTTGACGCTCTTCCAATCTGCTTTTCAATATAGGATTTTCAACAGGCCTTGAAGAAGCTGGTGTAGCTGAAACGTGTTGGGCTATTGAAATTAATACAACTAGTGCCGAGTGTTTTGCCTTGAACCATCAAAAAGCAATGGTTTTTAACGAGGACGTTAACGTGATCCTAAAGCAGATTTTGCAGGTATGTCTTTAGGGGCAAATATAGACTGCAAAATTCTAAACATTTTTGCGGCTAAAACGATATTTCTTAGGTTTTTGTGGTCTAATAACATGGGTTTTAATGGCAATTTATTCAGAGTAATTATTGTTACAGTTGTAGTTTATGACAATGCCTAAGCAGCACTGTGAATAAATGAGATAAAGAGGCAGGAATAAAATTATTTTTGACAACTTAAAAACCCTTTCTGGAAAAAAATTAACACGAAATTTTGTTTTAAAGGGTGATACAAAAACAAAGTATGGTCAGCTACCAGAGCAAGGAAAAGTTGACTTAATTATTGGTGGTCCACCATGTCAAGGATTTAGTTTATTGAATAAAAATCGAAATGGAAGGAACTCTCTTTTAAATGTATGATGTTTTCATTGATTTACCGTGCCAAATACAAATGTTTGGTCCAAAACATAATCATTAATTTGTACGGGAAAGTTTGCTCAGTTAACTCAGTTCTGGAACATTACTATTTAATTGAGAACATAATGTTACTTTATTGATCACGGGAAAATAGTGTATAAATTCATTCCACTTTCAGAAAATATCGATCTTTTTACTTTAAAACAACTTTGAAATAAGTCAAATATGCAAAATAAGTTAACATTAGTTGCAACGAGTGAAATTACATAAAGAATTATTGTCAACGACAATGCAACGCGCAGTTTTAATCAGTTTCTCATCCAAGGATATTCTTTGCATCTTTCATGCATGTATAAAAATTTGTGTCGTTTTTGGATTAAAAAAGTTTTCAAAAGCTTGCTAGTGATTTTTTATCTGACATGGGTGGGCAAATAATTCTTCAAAACTATGGCAAGCATGACTAAAAACAAGACTTAAAAAAGAAGACCAAAATTTGGTATTCAAATTACTCTGTTGGTATTAGGAATCAGACACTCGTAAGCCTTGTTGAAGCTGTACGAAGAGTCAAAGTGAAAGATTATCGTGTGATGGAATAAATTATCATATTTAGCACAAATATAAGCAAACAAGAGGCGTGCGTTGCATTGTGGTTGACAATGATTCTTTGGTATAAATAATCGAAATCTTATTAGTTTGTATATTGATCGCCCAGGTTAATAACCTAACCCCGTTTCACTTGTTATGGAAATATCCTTTTAAACTTGCCTTTTATTTAATGTTTCAAATTATATGGTATGCTAAGAATTTATGCATTCTTTTATAGTGCTCTCAAATTACTACTTTTCTTGGTTTTTGTGACTTTTATCGCCCCAAGTATTTGATTATGGAAAATGTGAAGTCGTTTCTTACATACAAGAATAGCAGATTCTTCATCGCAACATTAAGAGCTTTGCTAAAAATGGGTTATCAGGTATGTCATTACAATTCTTAGCAGTTTACTAACAAAACATGAAAAACAAAATTCCCTCGTGTTTACTGGATGAGTATAATTGCACAAAGTAAAACTTTTATAAGGTCACGGATGAAATTTTGTTATTAAATGTAACGTTTTGTCTTTTCAATCAACGAAGATATGCTCCATCCCTCAAAGTGATTAACGTCTTAAGCTGGGGTGTAGACATTGGGGGCCCAAGACACCAAGACCACTCCGAGATTAAACCTGTGAAAAAAGGTGTCTTTTTCTTGAATGTAGTGTCCTTTTTTGTTTTGAAAAGGTTTTTTGATGGGCTTTACCTTGAGGAAAGTGTTCTTATTAAGTTTATCACTAGCAGCTTCTGACTTCATTTTTAAGTCAACATAATAAATTCGGGGAACTTGCACTCGTCGCAAAAATTATGCCACTGTTAACGTATAATTAACAAAACGACGGCATAAGTTAATATAATTTTGTTGGATGAGTTGTATCATAAAGTTATTGCTGTACTATAAAAAACAGAAACGACAAATCAACACATAGTAAGAAACAATTAATCTAGATGGGGAACAAGAAGCCTTTTCGTACGTGCCAGGAAGTTGGTAATTTTAAGGTAAAAACTTTAGTACTCAATAATGAGAAATGAACGTGCCAAATAAGAACAGGTGACGCTTTTTACGAGAGGGAGTATAGAAAAAAGCTAAATAGCAGCACCCTATCCTATGAGGCAAATGCAACTAGTAAACGACTGCTTCAGTCTAAAGGATGAAATAAATACACAAATAGTCAAATCAATTACACTCATATTGCACAAACAAATAAGAGATTCATTTTGCAATTAGAAAGTGGTAATAGAATTTATTTTTAAAAATGTAATATTTGAGTCATTAGCATCGTAAGACATTTTTGACAGTAATAAAAAATACGTGTTAACGTTAAATACCAATTTTAGATGGCTAGCGCACTTTAATATTCTGCTCCCACCCACCCACTTTAAATATGCTTCCTACGCCCCTGGTGTAAGTAACTACGAAACTTCATATTTAAATTTTACAGCGTCGAAACTGACGTCGAATCGACGTTGATGCGACATCAAAAACGCTAATCGAATTGACGTTGTTTTATCGACGTCGAATGGACGTCGAATCGCCATCGGCTTTCTCTACTTTTCTTAATATAAATGTTATCCCAGACATTAAAGTGGGTTTGAATGGAGGATCTCAGTAAATACCGATCGTATAATTAAATATACGTTTTTAAACTTCCTATATATAATGCATTTCAGTCTAATGATGTCTTAAAGTTAAAGACTAAATATTACTATTAATAAAAGCTTCTATCCTTGGCTTTATAGAAAGTTTTCTGTTGGGCAATAACATTTATATTACATTTTTGTAAATGTAGATCGTCGAGGTTAGTATAGTCCTGAGAAGGACTGTTTTTTGTTGTTGATGACTGACGTTTCGACAACCTTAGCGGTAGTCATCTTCAGAGTCAAATGACTCTTGACTCTTGACATTTGACTCTGAAGATGACTACGGCAAATGTTGTCGAAACGTCAGTCAACAACAACAAAAAAGTCCTTCTCTGGACTATACCAACCTGGACGATCTACATTTACAAGCATGTAACGATACTCCCGGGTTCAAACCATTTACTTAATTCTTCATAAGACACAAAGAACTTCTTTGCCATCTATTTTTGCTTCTACATTCAACTTCATTGTAACCAATGCATCCAATGTGAATTTGTGGATCACCTGGAATCGTACCAAATATGGATTTGGTGAGAGGAAACAATAATATGTTTAATTTTTCATGCATATTAATGATATAATCATAAGCTAATGTTAAACAAAAATTTCAAGGTAGACACAAATCTCAGCACATTCTTCAACACTCTTCTTTTATCTTGGTTTTGAAGTATTAACTTGATTAAAAATTAATGCCCAACATATTCCCAAGTGCTCCGAAAATCTGGTGTCAAACCACACGTCATCTACACATACCCCCCCTTACAGGCAACCAAGTTTCCCACCCTGCATCATCAAGCATTCTTGCTCACATTAACGCAACTGGACACACCCCCAACTTGGACGACTTTAAAATAATCTCCTCTTCCAACGATACTTATGAGCTCTCCATTCATGAAAGCCTTCTAATCAATAAATACAAGCCTTCACTTAATGTGCAAGGAAACTCCATTCCACTTAACCTCTTTTAATTTCTCTTTATTTTACTTCCTAACTTCCTTATCATGTATCCATTCGACACCGCTTCCTTTAGTAGTAATTTAACACCTTTTTGTAAATATAATATCTTGTCTTAACATCCTACTTATTATTTGTCTGAAGATGTCTTGAGTAAAGACGAAACGTCACAATAAATTTAATTTTACAATTCGTTTTTTTTGGTCTATTTCTATGGCTCTAATCAGAACTTTATGTTGGGCATTAATTTTTATCACACGAATTCGATTTCCGCTCGGCAAATCTCTCGCTACAATATTAACTTGATTATTATAACAAATACTTCGTTTACAGAAACACTAAGTAATACCTTAAAACTTTTGCATAAATCCAACTTTACACTATACAGTCAGTCAAATTGAGCAGGCAAGCAGTTCAATAGTTATTTTTATTATACGGCATCTACCATAGTGCTCATTAATTTTGCATGGCACTGCATTCAATTTCAACACAACTCTTTTGTAAACTTTCCGTACATATTTTCAAAAAAAATATGAACAAATTCTGCACAATTTTTGGGAGGTAAACTAAATTCAAATCAGGATAGTTTAGCTTGATGCCTTGATCATGATACAAGATGGATGCAAAACTCGATAAAAATTGGCAGCTTTGCCACGTCTGGCGAGCGATGAAGTGAAGAACAAACAAGACTGGACCAAAATAACTTTAAATTTAAACGTAGTAATAGAAACACTCTTCAAGTATCGTGTTAAAAACAAAATAGTAAAACTGATACTGTTCTACTTACCGGAGTCAAGAAATAATTCCTTTTCTGTCGCTATTTCAGCATTCGCAAACCACGGAAGTTGGCAAATTGTTTAATAAATAAAATTTTAAAAAAGTGTTTATGTTGGGAAAATAAATAGTTTTGATAATTCTATACTCGCAATTGTGGTGGTCAAATCAGCCTGGGCGACAAAATTTTTATTTCACGAGACCGCGTCTTTCCGCTGACTTTGACAACCAAGATCCGCAATGTTTTTGACCACGGGCCGCGCGCTAATAATTTATAGTAATTTTGTTGACGTCTTCCCTCCAGGTCTTATAGAACTCAATGGTTGTTTTATATGCCCAATCAGCGGGCAAATGTTCGGGTAAGCAGGATTTGCAGGCTATCGTGCGAAGGCTTTCGCTCCACATGCATGGCTTTCTTAAAAAACATGGATAGTATTAAAGAGGTACAGCAGCGAATTTTTCAACCGCTTTTTTATTACTTGCTTTAAAGTATACGTTTTAAAAACACGTTGGCCGAAAACAGAATTAAGATTGGTCATTTTTAACAGATTTTATAGCTTTGTAAAACTGCAACACTCGGCACATATTGTGCGAACTTTATCATTCTCGTGTGACGTCACAACCATGATCACCATTGAGTTCTATAATAACTAATTTAATAATAATAATTATAATACTAATAAATATATTAATATAATATAATAATTGAGTTATTATAAAACTCAATGGTGATCACTCCTAAACATGGCGTATATAACTAACAGTGATAAACACCTTCGTAGACGTAGAGGTTATATTGCTGGCAGTCCAAAGTTACAAAGTTGTACCAAGACACAATATATAGAAGCAATATCATTATAATTTTTTCCTAAAAAAGAAAAAGATCCAAAACTGCGGAGAAAGTGGAGAAATTTTGTCTGCAAACACCGACCAAATTTTCAAGCTTCGGCTACATTGCATTTTTGTTCTGCCCACTTTGACGATTCATGCTATAACGTGAATCCTACGTAGGCTAAGTCTCTCAAAATTAAAGCAACATTAAAAGACAATGCTATTTCTACTATTGATGTAGAAGGAATTGTTCCAGCAACTGAAGAGTTAACAACAAAGAGAAAACGAAGACAGGTATTTATTATTCCACTCGCGTTATGGACGAGCGCGCACGCACATAGTGATTTTAGTATGACATTATCGTTAACTTTGTTTATTAATATTTAATTTTTTAAGATTGTGCCTCACCACAAAAGACAGTCTTTTCAAATTTTGTGTTTTTTCTTCGAAGACTGAACATGAAAAACAAGCGAGACTGCAAATGATTTTGATTTACATGTTAATGACCCTCTATGAATGATCTTATTTCTTGCAAATCATGCTACTGCTCGAAATCGAAGAAGAGGATTAAATGCCTTCAGAAGTTGAACACGTGATACAAAAAGTGTAAAGCAATGTTGCAAAGAAAAGCACAAAAGCTGGAGGAGGAGAATAAGAAGTTGATTGTACTAAATCAACTAAGTGCAGTCTTGTCAGGACTGACTGAAGCTGATATGAATGTGTACAGTGATGAAGTCAGTGAGTATTCTTATGGTGGAATTTCAATGGACTATTCATCTCTTGAAGAATGAAGTCAGTCTACCGAAGAGAATAAAGATCACACATAACGTACTGTTGTGTTTGTAAATTGTTCTAGAAGTATATGTGAATTTACAGAAGAATTCCTGATCGATGTAACAGTATTTATGCCGTACGTTTCTCTGCTTTCATTACTTGGTATTTGCTTTGCTTACCTGGAACAGTTGTCTGATACAATTTTTAAATGTCTTGCCCTTGTTCTATTGAAATGAATCATAAAATGGTACTTCTTTTGTTACAGACCATTTACTCGCATGTATACACACCAACTGTTTTCCCCATTGTCTAGTAATAACTTTGCTGTGCGCTGCTGGGCTGACTAACATGTGTTGATGCACAACAGTTAATCGTTGCCTCAGTTGCTTACAGTCTTGAATTGTTTAAATAGCTATTAAAATATGAGTGAATCATTTTCAATACAGTGTAAACTCTTTTCTTTTTTATTTTGAAAGAGGTTGCAACCTCTAACACGGGGTCACGACTCATTGTCCATATTTACATTAAGGCTTTCCAATTGTTTCGCCTATTTTCACCTAGTTTTCGGAGCTTGTAGCAAAAACATGTGTGGCCTGTTGCCAAAAACATGACAAATTTTGGTTTTCGAAATTAGCGGAAAGACGCAGCTCATTAAGTAAATTTTTTTGTTTCTCCGTGTTTTATCAACCGTATATGCCATTACAAATAATATCTATACTTTAATTCTGAACACGATCCTTTTTTAAAACTGTATCAATAAATTATATTGCAAACTTCAGTTGTATGCTTATGCCGAAGTAAAGGAAACATTTCATGACACAAGTAAGCAAGATAGTAATCTTTATTAAGTGTTCACGGCATGCATTTTCTGTTGTTTTGTTCTTTGCATTATCGCTCTCTGAGACGCTGTAAAGCAGCTTTGTCCTTTATTGAGTAGGTCGGATGAGTCAAACGATTTTGGCAAAAATATGAAGAAAATATTTCAAATAAAGTTGTCTTGAAATCGAAAGCAGTGCCAACATTTATTCAAAAACACAGAAAAAAATGTTTTACAGAACTTGAAAATGGGCTAAATCTCTACATCCTCAAAATGAAGGGCATGTTTAGCTTGATGAAATCTCTTGTGGGCAAATAAACAAAATAATTCCATTTTATCTCTTGAAAATCGAAACCATGCTTTAAATCTTTCCGTAACATTACAAGTAGTAATTAATCGATGAACTAAGTTTTAATCAGAAAGTCCAAGTCTCAGTTTCATAAGGACCATTGAAAATTATTGAAATGTCTTTAGCTTTAAAGGTCTATAAATACAATTTGCTTTAATCCAACAACGTCTTTTGTTTTACTTTAAATCAAGCAACTTCTATTTTTATCTGCTTTTTTCAATCATGACGTCAAGCTTAGTATTTCATCGTTCATCTCCGAATCATTTATCTTTGTATTTTTCAGGAAACGTTTTTTATCGAATACTATCGGTACAATGTGACCACATATGAATAATTTGTCATCAAAAATGCGTTCGAATGCCCTTAAAGCACGACAAACTTGAAATACTTGTGTGTTGTAAAATAGATAAACCTGGTCGTCATTTGCGTCATGTTAGATCAGAAAAAATATATGTCATAAAGTGACAAATTGAATATTTTTAGTTAAATTTCATCATAGTCTTCTTAAGCGTAATATATGTAGCTAAAATCATTTTTTTTATTATCATTTTTATGACTTTATTGCCACGAGAAATAACACCCTGTCATGTAAGAAAATGTTCTTGTTTGAATCATGGTTTACTCAACGGTACAATATAAATGCGCAAGTGGCGTAGAGCATAGACACGTGTTTAATTTGAATTTTATTAGTGTGCATTTGGTGTTCTTCAAAGCGGAAACTATGGAGTTCCTCAAAACAGACATCGTGCGTTTGTCATTGGTTCACTACCTGGATACAATCTTCCACGGTTCCCATACCAAAGCATTCTTTTCCATCAAGGCTTTCCTTTAATGTTGAAGGAACCAAGGTATAAAATACATACCAGTCTTGCAATAAAAACAGAATAACTTTATAAAGATCCTGAAAGCATAGGTTAAAAGACGGATTACATCCCTTTTAAAAGCAATAAAAATCAAAAAGTAAACAATTTACAACGGCGTAGCCAGTCCGTCAATTTTGTTTTTTTTTGCAGCAAAAAGAAAAGTTTTTAAAAAAACAATAATTATAATTTTTTATAAATAAACATACCAGGAATAAAACTTAGCTGGCTACGCTACTCATTTCTTACTTAAATATAATCATAACAAGATAGTTGTTAAAACTAAAGCATTAAAGTGCCCATGATGCCAAAATCGATTTAGATGGCAGTTTCAGGACATTAGTCTGGTGATTCATTATTGATGGTGAATTACTTGTATTTTTCAAAATAAAATGATATGAAATTAAACTTAAAAAATCTCCCTTTTTTCTTAGAACTGCCTACTGGCAAACTTTGTTTGCAAAAATAAACGATATATATCTAATCATTACTTTAGTAATTAAGTCGTTGCATGGCTTGCATAACAAAACATTGTGGGAGAGGCTTGAAAAACACACAATTTATTAGGTAATGATTCCTTTTAAATCTATATATTACGTTCGAAGCTAATGTTATAATTATTTACACAATACAACTTAGAAGGTGTTAGAATCTCGACTTAAGGGTAGTTCCTTATAAAGATTGGTCATCACATGTAAAATGATCATGATTAATAATAATCGGGTGCCTTTAATGTACGTCCTACTAAGGATTTTCTCTGATCGAGTGGTCCTGTGTCGTTGTCTGGCCGTGCTTGAATGGTTTCTATACTGATATTTGAGGAAATGTCATGAGTGAGAGAACTTGGCTATGACGGTTGCTCATCTGAATTTTTGAACTCAGGTCATTCATTTTCGTCCTCAATATGCTCTTTATCTACTTTAATACTTTCTGTAGTGAACGCCAGAACACTTTGTTCTGTCCATTCATTTTGCTTCTGAAGTAATTTGAAACAACCTGGGTGCGTTCTTTAGGTTACACACTCTTTCAATCCATGTCCTGCACATCTGGTTTAGTCATATACGTACTGCATCTCCTGGGTTGAGATCTAGTAGTAGCTACTCCCATGGTTGTAACATTTTTCTTGTTTGTTTCTTTTATTGTGCACCAATTCCTTTACTCAGAGGGGTATTTTTTGCTGTAAAAGCTTCGTTACCGTAAGGAAAAACACTCTCGGTCTTTTGTCCATCGTATTCTGCAATGGAATTAGGTGCCTCTGTAGGAGTTTTTCTCCAGGCTAATAAAGCCAAATAAGGAATTTTTTGTCTGCTTGGGAGTTCTTGAGGATATTCTTTGACGTTTTGACCAAATTCTAGACTTTTCCATTGGATTGTCGGTAGTTTGGAGATGATGTTTTGTAAAATCTAAGTCTTGAAATAATTGTGAGAATCCTGCTGAAGAAAATCGAGCGCACCATTAACACTTCCCACTACGTCCAGAATTCCATGTCTAGCAAACTATGACCACTGCTATTGATTGTGGATGTTGTAGTTTTTTTAAGTATGTTCAATTCAAAGTAACTTGAATGCTATTTGAACATTATGATTTACTCTTTCGTTTCTAGTGTGAAAAGTTCAACAGCTTATACATATAATTCATCTCAAAAGTTATAGGAAACCCTGGTTCCAGATAGCACGTTGCTCTTTTGATTTTGTTACCTTTTGATATCTTCTTTCAATGTACTGGCAATCCTCTTTTAATCTTAAATGGTGGTGCTCTCTCTTCTTTTTTCCTAGATTTCTTCTTTTCGTTCTGGACAGATTGAAAGATGAGCTGTCCTTTTGAAGTACTCTACAGCTAGAATAAGTATTTCTCTTCGTAGCTGACTTTCCTTGGCGATTCTGAATATGCTCTGCTTAGAGTATCAGCGACATGAAGCTCTATCCCTTTCTTATACATTACCACCAAGTTGTATCTCTGTATTTGCATCATCTTTCGATGTAACCGCCTAGATGCAGCCAGCAGTGGCTTTCGTTGAATCTCTTCCACATACTTGTGATCTGTCTCAAAGATTATTTTACGAATAAACACATATTTATCAAAAAATCGCATGAATGCATTATTGCTAATAACTGTGCATGATTTCTTTCCGTGGACGTTTATGCCCTAAACGTATATGCTATAGACTCTCCTTCCTGTACAAATGCAGCTTAAACTCCTGATTGACGTGCATCGCATTGTATCGTGACTTCTTTGGAGAGATTTTTGTACCTAAGAACTTTCTTTAAATGTTCAAGTTCTGTTAGCGGCTGTAATCCCATTGCCGTTTTACACTCATTGTATCTATTTGGCGAAGTAGTTCTGTAACAGTTGATATTTTCGTGAGCAATTCGAAAAATATTTTATAACAGAATATACATCTGTGGGCTTGGCTATATTCCTTATTGCTTTATGTAAGGAACTTGCCATTCTCAACTTCAGTTTCTTATTGTTCAACTTTGGTTTTAACTTAACTTGACATCCAGTTCATTGGCCCGTGAACAGGACTTGTGATTTCTTCTTCCACCATGCTTTCCCACTCTTTCTTTAGAAATCTCTTACGGTTGCTGGCATAATGAGGTGGATGTATTACAGGTTTTACTGATTCATCAATTTTAATATAATAGTTTTCTTTTAAGCATCCAATTCCTTCAAAGACATGTGCATATTCTTGAAAAATATCCAGGCTATTATTTATTTTCGCAATATATTGCCTAAATATTAATTTTCTTCTCAAACATTCAAAATGATGTAATTATTAACAAATTTCTTCACTTGAAATAGTTTAGGGACCGATGATCTCTTTGTGATGCCACTTACATACAACAAAGTCACTCTCACCCAAATTGTTAAAATTTTGGACAAAAGACAAGTAATACGGGTCAACAACAATAAGTACTTAAAAATTTGATGTATATAATATTAGCAAAATTATGTATGTATTCTGCTTGTTTTGATGTCTTATGACGTCATTTTCCAAGTGAAAATGACAATGTCAGATTTGGTAACATACATTTTCGTGTTTCACAGATAAAAGTACTCCAGAAACTGCTCGCTACTCTCTTTTAGGAAGAAATGCCTTTAGAATTTTTTTTAGCGACTTATTTTGGAATTTTGAATAGTCTATATATGTTTTATTAATTATCAAAGTTTGAAATCGCAATTCCCATTTCATCACAATTTTGTTGGAATCCCATGACACAATTTTTATTGTCTTCAATGTTATATGCTTATATCATCTTGAAATATTTAAACTTGTGTGATGTGTACATTTACATTTTATAGTCAATCGTTGCATGTTTATCGCATTCCACAATTGTATTTATCCGGCTAACATTAACAAGTGTTAAAGGAAAATGTAGAAAAAACAAATTAAACTTGGACGACGAAAGTAAGCAACAGTAAAGATATATAACTTGAATACTAATTACAAGTTCTCTAAGTTTTAAACGTTTTTAAAGAAAAAACAAAACTTTTAAGAAGTCAGGAGAAAAAGTATGCCAAAAGTAATAATGAAAAGAAAGTCTGTTTTGTTTTTAGAAAATCTTTCATCAGAAAACAGTAAAATTTTTGTCATGGGCTTTTTACTAACTAAAAATTACTTTTAAATAAATTTTAAAAATAAAATTCGCTGAAATAATTCCCAACTGTCTCACTAATCTACATACAAGGCTTTATGTTGGATTCAAAAATTTACTGCCTATTTTGAGCTAGACCCAAAATACTGCTCGATTTACATAAACATGTCAGCAAAAATACTTTTTCAATCATACAAGAGGTTTTGTTTTTATCTTTTATGATGCATGAAGTCTTTTTCTTTGTTTCAATCCCAGTAACTAGTTTATATGAAGAAGTTGAACTAGATATTTTAGCACGTTTTTTAACTAACACTGATGTCAACCCAATAACTTCAGCGTCGAGTTATATCTCGTTCTAATTGAGTTAGACGTAAGAGTGAATATGGAAACAATAACTTAATATTTTTAGTTTGGATCGGATTTCGAAAATGAAGACATCGGAAAGTATCGCGGTTTAACAGTAAGAGACGGAATTTCTGATCTTATGAAGGATTATGAAGCTGAGACGGATTACCAAAGACAGGTATATATTATCATAATATAGTTAATAAGCTAAATGCTCACATTGAAACAATTAAAGAGCGAAGAGTGATGCGTCTTTTTATCTCGTGAGCAAACAGCAAAATATCCATTACAAGCAGGACATGACGAATTCATGCTTTTACCCGCTCAACTACGTATTTTTACAACTTTAATCATGTTATGAGAGTAAAGTTAGAAATAAAATATGTTTTAACGGTCAACATGCAAATAATTTTATTCCAAAGATTTTGTCACGTTTCTGCTTTAATTCCTTTGCAATTTCTTCATATGCAATGTAGCCTTTTGTATTTTAAAGTTTGGCGAACTTACTTCAAACACACAGGGATAGTTTGCCCATATGTCAACAAGTTTGTTAATGACATAAATTTGTCCTAATGTACTCGTTCATCAATTCGTTTGCAGCGGTGGCCTATGTTTTCATGTTTGTTCATAAGTTAAAAGAACACGTTGCTAATAATTCTTTAATTGATTATATGTGAGCATTTAGCTCACATTCAGCGCAAATGGTGAGTTTTTTGCCTCGCGTGGCCAAATTTATCAACCGTGGTTGATATGCAAGAAAAGGTTTCATGAGCCTTAAAATTCAGTAAAATTTCTTCGCACACAGCGAGCTATCGCCTGAGCTAACGGGCACGAGTAACTTTTAACTCAGTTGATAGCCTCGAGTGCTACAGGCTTAAGCTAAAGAACTTTTGTCTAAATAACAATTTATATATAAAAAATAACACTAGACGGCATTCTTCAGTCTGTTCAGTGGACCGTTAATATGACCAAGTTTACTTTTGTGTAAACTATGGTGTAAACACTCACAGTCTACCAGTAAATACCAGTATTCATAACTAATAGACATAATGGTATAAGAAAATGGATTAGGGATGATAAGCCAACTACAAAACATTTCTTTGACATTTGGCATGTTGCCCAAGCTGATGGAAAACAAATTTTGAAGGCCAGCAATAACAAAAGTCGTGAACGTCTGAAGAAATGGTTAAAGGCTAAAAAAGTCTTTTATACTCGGTTGTCACATCAACGAAGGGATTTGAGTACATGATTGAAGCCAAGTGGATGTCACTAGCTCGTCACATTGCCAACATGCATGTTGATCATCCCAACAAATTATATCCAACTCATCAGCCACTGGAGCCACGGAAGTGGATTTTAACTGGTAATGTGCAAGTGGAACATTGATTTGCTTGCACTCCGGTAGAAATTGATTCATCTCTCTCTTCTCAAATATTTTATGTATAAATCAAGCTGATTGTTTGTCGTGATAACTAAAATTGCTAAAATGTTAAACATTTCTTGTAATTAGGGGCTCTAAAAACAGCGGAAGAGCTAGTCTTTCGGTATACTATTTCTCCATAATAAATCTCATTGCCATGCTCACAAAGATATGCTTTATGCATAGACATTGATGTGATTTGGAAGGCATTTATTTGTAATAAACAGCGACAGAAACATTTTGGAAATTATTTATGATCATTTATAGAATGTAAATAAGCTGTGTGAGTTAATTTATGATGTTCCTATCCATTGTACCATTTAAGATGAATTTCGGGTATAGTATGCTTCCTTTTATTTCTGAGCAGATGCAACTAATAGCAGGAACAAGATCACTTGAATTGGATCAAGTCCTTAAACTGAAGCATGCAAAAAGAAGCCTCATTCTAAAAAATGCAAAAAACCAATGAACGAACGGTCATTTAAAAAGTACTTAGATAGACAGGAGGAAAATGCTATGAACATACTATGCAGGCTCAATACAATAAACATGGCGTGCATTGCTAAGCTCTTCAAATAATTTATGAAATATGGTGATTGAATGCTGATTGCACTTTTGTAGCTTTAAAAAATCACTGTCGATTTCCCATATAAGGTTCAAATACTAATGTCCTCTTATCATAATTTAAAGAAAGTTTTTTTACTCCCTTTCCTCTGTTCGTTTATAACCACAATTTAGTCTGTTCTGCTCTTTTGAATACTTATTTCGAAGAAAGTGATAAACACAAGCAGGCAAAGATCTTGTATTGCCCAGCCCATATATTCACACAGCCATTATATAAGCCAACGACATGTCACATTTCACATGTATCTAAATTTACAACACCAATGCAGCAAGCCCTAAAGGTACAAAAATAGATTGTAAAACTGTAGGCAGAAAACTGTTTACAGTATAAAATTAACTGCCACAGCCAGTGTAATATTTGCTTGAAATTTTATAAAATTGAAGGACTTAATCATCGTCCTGAGCACTGCGTTTTTTACGGTAGATGCTACTGTCAATACGTTTTATACATATACAATCAAGATTTAACACTGAACGATTCGTGTGGACCAAAAAATCCTCGTGTTCGATTAAGCAATCTATATGCTCGATGGAACAGTCAAACACCATCTTTCCTGCTGTGTCAACCACTTCCCTACAGCATTTGTACTCAAAAGGTCCGACTAGATGTTCAATGCTACACATTTTACAATTGCAGCAACAGGGACGGCACTAGAGCGCTAATTGAGGTTGTATAATATATTCAATGTCGGGCGAGTGATTTCTTTTGAAAGTGATTTGGTTTTCTAAAGAAATCGGTCAGACAAAACTGAATATATACATAAGCACCCCAATTAACGTTCTAGCGCTCTCTGTGCGCCAGTCATCAAGACTGGTATTTCTTTTATATCTCTGAGTAAAATTATCCGGCTATAAACCACCACAGTCTGTTTTGTGAACATTACTTGTTGACAAGATTGTAAAAGAATTATTTGCTAGTAATTTTGAAGGAAGAGTCTTCTAAATCACTGCAAGAGTCCTCTGTCTGAATGGAAGTACTTTAAATTGAAGATTTGACATTTTTCAGCCGAAAGCGCTAAGAACAAAACATTGAAATTGACAAACAAAGCTTGAATGTAAACAAATTGACGTCACGCCATTATGCCAGGTCTAAAACACGTCCCCAATTTCCAAGACTTATTTGTCTTTATTTCTTGCACAGTGGTTTTGAGTGATTGGTACTAAAGTAAATGGTTTGAACCCGGAGTATCGTTACATTTTTGTAAATGATGATCGTCCAGGTAAAAAGTCCTGAGAAGGACTGTTTTGTTTTGTTGACTGACGTTTCGACAACCTTAGCGGTAGTCATCTTCAGAGTCAAATGAGGAGTAAACGTCAGGTTAGCCGTATTTGTTATCTGGTTCTTACGTCATTGTATTGTGTGTACAGGAAATGTGTATTGTCGCCTAAATCACACCTAAATCACAAATCACAACTAAAAATAAAAATTTCACTTCACACTAATTCACAATGACAATACCCATTTCCTGTACACACAATACAATGACGTAAGAACCAGATAACAACTACGGCTAACCTGACGTTTACTCCTCATTTGACTCTGAAGATGACTACCACTAAGGTTGTCGAAACGTCAGTCAACAACAACAAAAACAGTCATTCTCAAGACTTTATTAACCTGGACGATCATCATTTACAAACATGTAGTGATTGGTACTGTTAGTAGACAAAACATGAAACTACACATTATTTTTTTAGAATCAGAATTTAATCGTTGACTTCATGTCACGTTTAAGTGAGAGTGTTATCATTAGGCTCTACTGGGACGTAGCTACAAGAAATGATACATTACTAATTCATATTATCCTATCCTGGAATAAACAGAACTCTAAACAAGTACTTTATGAAACTTTTAGTCAACAGAACTTTCCAAATGTAAAAAAACGTAAATGTGTTTGTTACAATTTAATGAAGAGTTTTGTTTTCATTCCAACTTATAGATGCAGCATTCATGCATACCTGAAGATCATGTTGCAAGAACGGTTTCTCAAGCTAGCAAAGAAAAAATAAAGAACGTGAAAAAACAACTTGATCTTAATCAAATGGCATCCAAAGATATTGGCGGCAATCAACTGTGAGTATTGAAGTTTTTCAAGCTATTGGAACATAAAGTTTGCCAAATGGCTATTCCTACATTCTTAAGGTCGTTAACGTTAAACCTCTTAGAAAAACCTATTGACTTTCTATTGCAATCTGAATTTGCAGTAACTATGTAACTGTATATTGGTCAACTCATGTCAATTTGCAATTTACAGCTTGCAGCATTATTATTTCAATTAATTATTTGTGGCGCCAAAAAATTTTTCCTGCGTGCTGGTTTTGGTATAAACAAAAAGGATTGCAAATATTGAGAATCGTGCCACGGTAAAAGGATCTTAATTCACTCTTAATTGCAATCATTTAAATAAATTTTGGTTTATTTTTCACTTGCGCAAATAAAATAACTGATTTGAACACAGTATTGTGCTGTTTTATAAGCTTGTGAAAGTCAATATGAATGAATCCAAAAAATTGCAAAAAAATATCAGCTGTTGTGTGAGCATTATTGCATTAATAATGCTATCTTTTCAAGTTTTCAAAACTTAATTTTTATAAAAATGTTTTTTTGGCGACACCAACTAGACCACACCTTGTTTTTGGAAAATGAATGGATATACCCTCCTTGAGAACTTCTTAGCCACACCACTGTTGGCAAGTGTAAAATGACGTTGTCAGAAGTTGGAAGATGTCTATATGAAAGTCATGCAATAACTACTAGTGTCAGTTATACTATATAAATGAGTTTTATATGTTTATAATACTGTATACCATCCTATAATTAAAACAAACTATTCTCAACTTCCAGTGTATGGAAATTTCAATAATTATACTGCATGCCAAACTAATCTAATCAGCTAAAGTTTATTTTACAACATTTTTCTTTGGTTTACAAACGGTTGACTGCACTCAATAGAAATACTTATATATCTTGATTAGCGACGTTTATTTTGACCAACCTTGCTACACCGACATTGAAAATTCTTTTATTGCGTGAAAACTGTATAGATTGCTACACTTTGCCACCACTGAAAAGTAGCTTTTCATAAACAACTTGATGTTTTTAAAATAATAATACACATGACAAAAGT